CGCTTGCTTGCCTGATGCACGCACATCATCAAGGCTGAACAGGTTCGCAACGAATGGATGCTTGTGGGCTTCTTCATAAGCTCCGCGCAGAAGGTCGTGGCAGAACTCGACAAGCTCTTTATCTATGACAACCAACGGCAAGCAGGACAAGAAATCAAATTTAGGAATCGCGAGATTGAGATAAGATAATTGAAGAAAAAATAATCTGGCACCTTGGGCAGACTGCAGGCCTTCTCGGAGCTGGGCAAGGCCGTCGAGATCCTGTCCGAGGACGTAATCCAGGGCCTGGATGCTGATGTTGCCTGCTTCCATCTTCACGAGAAAAGGAAATGAATAAAGAAAATATGCTTCAAAGAGAAAACAAAATCGTCCACAGATTATTCTCCAAAGCTCAGAATAAATGCGATTGGCCAGAAAAATATTGTCCGGGCGCCAAAAGTCCTAAATCAGGACTCTAAATCGCGGTTGGGTCCAGTTCTCCGTGGACTTTTTTGGGGTGGCCAATAGGACTTTCGTTGACGAAAACTTCCTCGGGACTTTCCGTCCACGTCGAGCAAGCTTTCGCCGTAAGCTTCTGGCCTCTAGTCGTTCTGTTCCACTGTCGTGCACACAACGAGCCGTTCCTTCTGTCCGACACTTCGTACTGAATCATCACATTGAATCTTCATTTCGAAGGAAATCGAGAGATTCGAATCAGATTTGAATCTGATTCGACAACCGAACGCGACAGAACCGACACCCAAAGATGACACGAACGCCGGTGATGTCCCTAAACTCGGTCGAGGGCGAGGAGGACCCACTGCTGCAGGTGGGTCCTGTCGGCGAACAGCAAGTCGACAGAACCACCTCATCAGTGCTGGCCCGCATGCGCGCCGTGTTGCACACCATCGAAGCCGAGGAGGTGCAAGCCACCGTCGCCATCCCACACGACAAGGAAGAGTACTTCGACGACAAACCCCCGGTACCTCACAACTGTCCGTGCCGCACCGTCGCAGCAGTTTTTTTTGATCTTCCAGAAATTCACGGCCATAATGACCGCGCATACCTCAAATTTTTATCGCGTCGTATGGCCAAACAACAAAAACCAAACGCCAAATCTCATCTCTGGCATCTTTCATCTTCGTTGCATTGCAGGCATGGTTCAGCTTCAAGAAGCTATGGGCGTTCACTGGACCTGGCTTCCTCATGTCGATCGCCTACCTTGACCCAGGCAACCTCGAATCTGATCTTCAGGTGTGATGGCCTTTCCCTCCAGCCGATTGTTTGTGACGCTCACCTCTTACCCTGAACTACACAGGCCGGAGCAGCGGCCGGCTACAGTTTGCTTTGGGTGCTCTGGTGGGCCACCGTCATGGGCCTTCTACTTCAGTTGCTCGCGGCTCGATTGGGCGTAGTCACCGGTATCGTCCATCCTTTTTTTCTCACCGCAAGCTCTTCAATACCAACAACACCAATGTATGTGCACGCACAGGCAAGCATCTAGCGCAGATCTGTCGTGAAGAGTACCCCAAGGAAGCCACCTGGTTGCTGTGGCTCATGACCGAGCTCGCCATCATCGGTTCCGATATTCAAGAGGTGCCAACCCCCTTCTCTCTATACCTGCGCGGACGTTAGCAAAGCTGTACATGGGCCACTCACGCACGCGCTACTCTCCTACATAGGTCATTGGCTCGGCGATCGCAGTCAACATTTTGTCGAAGGGCACCATCCCCCTGTGGGGCGGCGTTCTCATCACCGCAGCCGACACATTCACCTTCCTGCTGCTCGAAGGCTATGGTATGATCTCCCTCTTCCGCTCCTCTCCGCGTGGTGGCCTCTCCCTCATTCCCTTTGCTCGTTTCTGTGTTCAGGCGTGCGTAAGCTCGAGGCCCTCTTCGGTGTGCTCATCACTACAATGGCCGTGACCTTTGGCGTGGAGTACATCATCGCCGAGCCGAACCAAGCCGACGTCATGCTGGGTTTGGTGCGTCACAGTATGGCACAGGCTTCCACGTTGGGCGTGACGACTCAATTCATTTCTCTCGCATGGCAGGTGGTGCCGACGCTCAGCAGCAGCACAATCCAGCAGGCTGTGGGCATGGTGGGCGCTGTGATCATGCCTCACAACATCTACCTACATTCCGCCCTGGTCCAGGTACGCCACCGACCCCACTGCCTCGATTTGAATGCACGGCGACTGATTGATCTGTACCCTCCAGTCGCGCGACGTGAAGAGGGACAGCGACGTGCAGCTGAAGGAGGCCAACAAGTACTTCGCCATTGAGTCGGCGATCGCGCTGTTACTCTCGTTCATCATCAATCTGGTACTCAAGCGCTTGGCATCGACCGCCTCTCACTCGCATCTTTGGCTGACTCTTCCCGCGTCTTCTTGCCCAGTTCGTCGTATCCGTATTCGCGGTCGGCTTCTATGGCACCCCTGAAGCTGACGTACGCCAGCCCTAGAAACCCCAATTGAAAGCTGGTCGAGCTCACCACATGTATGTCGACACAGGACATCGGCCTGCACAACGCCGGCGAGTACCTTCAGAAGCAGTACGGCGACTTCGCGCTCTACATCTGGGCCATCGGCCTGCTCGCTGCCGGCCAGTCGTCCACCATGACCGGCACCTACGCCGGCCAGTTCGTGATGCAGGGCTTCCTCGACCTCAAGATCGCCCGCTGGAAGCGCGTGCTGCTCACCCGTACCATTGGTACATCCTCCCTCCTCCTCCTCCTCATCTCTCTCTCTCTCTCTCCACACACACACCACACACACACACGAGCGCTCACACCTGGTCGTCTCCACAGCAATTTTGCCGGCCGTGGTCGTGGCGCTGACGGCGACGGACTTCCTGGACAGTCTCGACCAGTGGCTGAACGTGCTCCAGGCGGTGCAGCTGCCGTTCGCGCTGGTCCCGGTGCTGCTCTTCACCAACAGCAGCGCCATCATGGGCAAGTTCAGCAATCCGCTCATCGTCCAGTTGGTCACGTGGGTCCTCGGCCTCGGCGTCATCGCCATCAACATCTACAGCATCATCCAGGCCTTCGAGGTCCTACCGCAGACCTGGTGGCTTTTCGCCATCTTCGTCTTCGGCGGCATACTCTACTTCGCCTTCATCATCTTCCTCATCGTCTTCGTCTACCACGCCAAGCTCCGACGGCTCCTGCACTGCCTCGGCCGACCATTCGGCTGCTGTCAGGCCGGCCCAGACGACGGTCAACCCGAGGAGGCCCAGAAGGTCACATCAGGCTACGAGCGCACCTAGTGGTCACATCATAAACCCACCTTTTTTTTTGAATGTGACGACTACAGTCATGAAATGAGTGCTCACCACCACTTGAGCACAACAGCAGCCGGCTGAGAGACGGGCAGGTAGCTAAGGGAGACGACGAGGCTCCCCGCGGGGCTAAGGAGCGGGGAGGTGGCGTTGGTGCCCTCCACGTACCAGCCCGGCACCACCCCCGGGCCGGGTGCCTTGGGCACGACCACCCCATTGCAGGTCACGCTCTGCGGCGGCTGGGCTGTCCCGCGCAGCTGCAGCACATGCGCGCGCCACGTCGGCGCGCCCGCGAAGCCGCCGGCCATGGCGCCGATGGTGATCGAAACCGTGCCAGCCGCCGGCGAGGAGAGGTAGTCGACCTCGGTCGTCGCCCACGACGCTGCGAGGCTGCGCGAGGTGTAGGCCAGGCTCACCCCATCGTCCTCGTAGAGGCGTCCTCTGCCGTTGAGCGGCCCGCCCGCGCTGAAGAAGATGACCCACACCAGCGGGTTGACCGGGGTCATAGTGGCCACCGAGGCCATGGTCTTCATCGGTATGACCGCACCGGCCCGGGCGTACAGAGGGAGGTCGGCCAGGGTCCAGTCCGCGCGGGAGACCACGTGCGGCCCGTCGAACACGGTCGCGCCGTCCCACGAGACCCAGCGGCCGGGCGGCAGCCACACATCCTTAGCCACGCGCCGAGTGATCTCGTCCCTGGGCCGCGCGATCGGCGCCGCCAGCACGTCGGGGCCGAACATGTACTGGTCGCGGAAGGCGTAGGCCCCGTCCTCCTCGGGCCACTCGTAGTAGAGCGGGTGGACCAGCCCGACGGCGGTGTCGTAGGCCTGGCGGGCCGACGTGTAGATGTACGGCCCGAGTGCGTTGCGCAGGTGGAAGGCCTGGCGCATGATGTCGAAGTAGGGGAAGGTCCAGAAGTACCGATCGCAGCTGCAGTGGGTGCGCCAGATGGGACTCACGGCGGCGAACTGGAGCCACCGCACGAGCAGCTCCATGCCGAAGAGGTCTAGCGGGTTGTCGGTGCCCGGGCAGTCGGTGCCGTTATGGTTCCCTCCGATGTCGTGCGACCAATACGCGAACAGCACGTTCGAAGACGTGGGGGTCATCTGGATCTCGTACTCCAGCGTGCCATAGTCCTGTTGTACGACATCACCAAATCGCACACGCACACGCACACGCAGACGACACACGACGCACGACACAGACACGACACTAAGTCAGTGCCAGATGCGACTGGTCAGCGTGTGGCGCGGCTTATGAATCACCTGGAACGTGTCGCCCGAGAAGCCGATGGGCAGGCGCTGGGAGCCGATGCCGCCGTAGCGGGAGAGGAGAAGTGGCCGCAGCTTCCCGGCGACGTTCATGTGCTCCACGAACAGGTAGTTGGTCCACCACAGCGCGGGCGCCGGGTCGAGGCTGTTCGAGCAGCCGCCGTAGTCGGTCCACCAATAGTCCACGCCCGACAGCGGCGACGAGCCCATCACCATCTTGAACATGACATCGCTGTAGGTCTGGTTGTCGTAGTTGCACGGCACCGTGGCCAGGGTCTTGGGGTCGGTTCCCAGCGCCTCGGCCACCTCGGGGTACAGCGTTTGGCAGTGATCGACGCCAGTCTGCGGGTGGAGGTTGAGGCTCAGCTTGACCGGGTGGCCCGCGATGTTGGCCACGCTGTGGAGGTAGTCGATGAAGGCGACGGGGTCGGGGAACAGGGTGGCGTTGAACGTGTAGCCACCCCACGAGTTGCACCCGGTACCGGCCGGCGGCTCGATGTGCCTGCAGACACACATCAACGAACGCTGAGCTCAGTCCAGTCGACTCCATTGGATGAAGAGTGGAAACGCGAGTACCAGTCCATGTCGAGCACGGCGTGGTTGAGCGGCAGATCGTTTTGCTTGTACGGGAATCATGACCTCCTTGATGAACGACTGGTCGCTGTAGGGATAGTAGCGACTCCACCACACGCCGAAAGCAGACTGCGGCGGCAGCGCGATGGGACCCGACACCATGCTCCAGTCCTGCAGGGCCTGCACGTAGGCGTGGCCGTGACCCAAAAAGTACAGGTCTTGCCCCACCCGCAGCTGCGGCGCCGTGCCCACCGCCGCGTCTGACGAGCCGTTGGTGAGATCGAACCACCGCAGCTCGCCCGGCTTGGGGTCCTGCGCCTGGAAGCGCGGCGTGAGGGTGTCGTCATGTACAGCCCAGCCGCTGCGAGACACGAGGCCCAGGCTGTAGAGCTGGTTGTAGCGCTGCACGCACTGGGCCGGGGTCGAATAGCAGTCCAGGCCGCCGGGCCAGCTGGGTCCCTCGGCGCAGGTGCCGTTGAGGTTGGCCGGGTCGGCCGTGCCGGGCACCCACGACGTGGGCTTGCCCGCGACCACGAGGTCCACGCGAAGGTTGTCGGCGGTGAAGTTGCGCTCGGACGGGCCGGGCCGCTGGAAGGTGATGCGGAGGAGATCGGTGGTGATGACGACCATGTTGGGGTCGGGGTAGGTCGTGGTGAAGGCCGGCACGACGGGCAGGCGTCGGTTGATGACGGAGAAGGTGGGGCGGTCGTCAAAGACTCCCGGTGAAGATGAGGGGAGCTGGAGCTCCATGCGAATGAGGGCCGGGGTGAGTATGGTGAAGCGGGCCCGGTCGAAGATGACCGTGGCCTCCGGGGGCGCTACGGGCTGGGCTTCGTCATGGGCGTAATGCGTCCGCGCTGCTGCAAACGCGAAAAGCAACCCAAGAAGGAGGATCACTCCACCAAGAGCTTTCATCTTCATCAAGAAGTTGCCAACAAGACACACCAAATAAGGCCTCTAACGCCTTCCTAAACCAGCTTTTGAAACTGACCCGCTGCCCCCGTTCCCCTCTTCCTCGAAGTATTTGTGGATTTGAAAAAAAGTGATTATGGGCGAGGTGGAAGCATACCTGACGGCACTGCCCCAGGCGGCTCTCGACAACCTCTATGCCGACCCCTGGACTTGCCAGGCCGTTTTTCGGTACCGTCTGCCACCAAATCCTTCGCCTATGACCCCCCCCCGCGGAATCAGTTGTGCCACGAATTCAACTGCGATTTTTCATCTTCATGGCTATGGATGGTTCTTCGTGATCTGGGAAAGGTCGTTGCCGGCCCTGGCCAAGCAGTGGGTGCTACGTTTGGCGTTCGCCTCGCCGAGCATCACGCGCTCGCGCCTCCTCCAACACTGGACCTCTCCGCGCTTTCAGTCGCAGGGCGAAGCTGCCCTGCGGCGACTACTCGCCCTCCGCATCCTCCGCGAGCGGCTGCCGGCCGACCGGCGGGACCACGGCGGCGGTGATGAAGCAGACGTGATGGAGGTGATGGAGCCGCTCGGTGGCGGCGTCGCGTACGAGTTCAACAAGCACTTCGGCAGCAACTTCCAGAAGGTGCTGACAGAGAGGTACTGCCGGCAAGCACGTCTTAGCTCAGACCGCGACTAACGAGCGTGGGCGCTGAAAGTGGTACGGCGCCGTGGAAGGAGCGCAGCACGGTCGGCCTCGGCCTCGATGGTGAGGACGGGGAGATGGACGGCGAAGGTGAAGAGGAAGAAGAGGCGATGCCGACGAGGGAGGAGCTGGCCGCGTTCACCACGTCGTGCTGGGACACCATCTTCCTGTTCATCATGGGCTCCACCGTCATCCAACCGCCGTCCGACCGAGTCGTGTCTCTCCTTACCCGCGGGGAGTTCATGGTGGTACACGAGTACGGCTCTCTCTCTCTCCACCTCTTGCACGCACGCATGCACGCGCTCACGCTCGTGCGCGCACTCAGGGAAGACCAGTCGATTCGCATCGCAGACAAGGGCTTCCCGTTCTTGCTGAAGGACCTGCGCACGCAGGTCTGGACCCTGCTGCTCCTCTACCTGCGGTCCCTGCAGGAGGAGAAGGCCAACGTCCACGACGTTCTCTCCTTCCTCTTCCGCCTCAGCTTTCTCACCGTCGGCGAGGTACCTCCCCCGCCAGGCGCCTGTAAGGTGCGGGACCAGGTCTAGACCTGTAACAACAGTTCTGTTGCGGCCCCGCAGGGCTACCAAATGGACGACCTTGCGTTCTCCGAGTCCGGGCTGCTGCAGGACCTGCAGGATCTGGGCATCATCTATCGCAAGCACAAGTGCGCTCCGCTTTCTTGATCGTGTGTGTGTGTGTGGTGTGTGGTGTGTGTCGCTGAAAAACAGTGACGCACAGGGACTCGAAATGGCTCTACCCGACGCAACTGGCCATCGGCCTCTCGTCAACCGAAGCGGCGAAGCGGGACCAAGAGGGTTGGATCATCGTCGGCACCGACTACCGCATCTACGCCTACACCTCCAGCCCCGTACGATGGCCCTCGCCACCCTCCAACGAACTAACTAGCACACGCAGTGCCACGGCGCTTACCAAGACGTTGGCTCCACCCATGCACCCGTAGGTGAAGCTGCTCCTGCTGAGCCTGTTCACCCAGATCGAGTACCAGCTGCCCAACATGGTCATGGGCATCCTGCTTCGCGAAAACATCCGACAGGCCGTGCAGGTCGGCATCTCCGCCAATCAGATCCTGCAGGTGCGCCTCCCTGCTTGTGGGGGACTCATTTTCGTCAATGCCCTCCGCTCACCATGTGTGTCGTGTGTTGCGCGTTGCGCGTTGCGCGTTGTGTGTTGCGCGTTGTGTGTTGCGCAGTTTCTCGAGACGAACGCGCATCCACAGATGAAGCAGAACACGCCCATCATTCCAGAGTCGATAGCCGACCAGCTGCGATTATGGGAAGCCGAGGACCGACGCCTGTCCCTCAGCTCGGGCTACTTCTACGACGATTTCGCTTCGCGTACGCGCTCCTTTCCCTCCTTGCCCTCTCGAACACAGCGCTGCGCGGCACTGACATGACTCGTGGTGTTGTGATGGTGCAGTGGCGGCGTTCAAGAAGGCGGAAAAGTACGCCCGGGACGTGGGCGCTCTCATCTACTCGGACGCCACCAAGCGATTCCTGTTCGTGAGCGAGCCGGGACACCAACTGCTGCGACGGTACGTCAAGCAGCACCTCTCCTCTTCCTCTTCCTCATCGACATTGACATCCAAATGAAGGCGAAGTGGGCCCAAGTCTTCGCTCTTTCGTCCCTCCCCCGTGTTTCGTTTTTCCTTCGCTTCGCTCTTCCCGTGTTGTACAAGGTGATGCAGGTTGCATTGTCAGCTGCAGAAAACGTGCACATCAGGATGAGGCGTTGATGTTGGCCTTGAGCTTGGCGAGACCGGCCTGCACGCGGGCCTTCCTCTCCGCCTCCAGCCGGGCCTTCTCCTCTTCCTCGGCCTTGAGCTTGGCCAGGGCCTCCCGCTTGCGGTTCTCCTGCTCCCTCCGCGCGTCCCTCTGCATCTTGATGTTCTGCTCCGAGATCGTGTCCTGCTCATCGTCGTGACCACACGCAAGGTCAGTCGCCATCAGCCACCACCACCGCTGGCGACTACGTACGTTGGTCTGCTGGGCGGCTTGCTGCTCGAAGACGTTGGCGAACTTGCCGATGGCCGACGTGTGCTGTTGTGTGCAACACGCACGACACACGACACACGACACACATGATACAAACGCGTTACCTCTGGTATTCTCGAGTGAGGTTTAGATGGGGGTCGATGCATTTGTTTGCACCAGCAGGTACCTGCTTGGCCTCGACGGGCTTGAGGAGCTGCACGAACAGGCCGCCGAGGGCCGACCTGGTCTGGCCCTTCTTGTCCTTCAACAGAACCGTCAAAAACGCCCTGCGCCCGCCCACGAGAGAAAGGGGGTCAGAGACAGACTCGTGGGAGGCGAGGTGGAGTGGGCGGGGTGGGCGGGTGGGGGGTGCGTACTTGTAGTCGATGCCGTCGGCGGAGGAGGTGTCGGGGTTGGCGTCGCGGATGAGCTGGCGCAGCTGCAGGTTGGTCTTGGTCTCGCCCATGTCCTCGTACATCTGGTGCAGCTCGAACAGCTCGAGCGCCAGCGTCTTGTTGGCGTCGTATTTCTTTGTTTTGTGGGCGAGTCAAAAAGAGCGAAAGAGAAGAAGTGGGACGAAAAGAGCGAAGGTGGGGGGGGGCGAGCGTGGGGGTACCAGGAAGAGGTTGCGGTAGGACGCAAACTCGTCATCAGTGAAAGCGCCCTTGAACTCCACCTGCTCGACCAGCTTCAGTCTCGACTCCACCGACGCCATCTTCTTCTTCTGTCTTGTTCTGCGTGGCCACGCTCACTTTCTTTGTGTTGGTCCAATCGACGTTCTGGACCAACCAATAAAAAAGTAAAACTAAATCATAATTTATTTATTTTAGCTGACAAGCGCGGCCTCATCAGTTGCCGAAGGAGTAGCCCAGGTTGTCCCAGAAGTCGCAGTAGGCGGCGCGCAGGCCAGTCTTGACGGTCGGGGGCACGGCCAGCTCCATGCTCTGATCGGCGGCCTGGCTGTAGAGCGGCCACGAGGGCTGCACCGCCACCGGCGCGTTGGGATTTCCGCTCTTGGCAAAGTTGGTCCAGTAGCTGTCGTGTGTCGTGCGTGTGTCGTGTCGTGCGTGTGTCAATGTGCGGTCGAGAGAAGCATAGCGCGAGGAGGGACCCGGGGGGGGGTATGATCTACCTGACCATGCGCCTGGACAGGTCGGCCTCGCCGGCGCTAAAGTTGAAGAAGGGCTTCACCGAGTGGAAGACGAACGGGAGCTCAATGCCATGGCAAACTGGGAGAGAGACCAGCAAAAGTGAGATCTGGCGGTTAGTTACTTGGGAGAGGGGGGGGGGGCGATGAGTGCGCACATACCGTGACCAACACAGAACTTGTATTTGCTGCCCCACGGGTCGAACGACGTGGAGTGGTTGAACTGGTAGAGGTAGACGCTGGCACCTGAGCAGCCCACGCAGCATGCGATGCTTAGTCTCACGACCAACGCCACGACACATACGACACACGCACGACACACACGACCGACAACACGACACACACGAAACACGCACGATACACAAACGAACCGAGGGAGCTGATCTTCCTGGCGACGCCCCTGGTGAGACACGTGAAGATGTAGTCCGTCCCGAGCTCGGCCAGCAGCGGTCGGTAGTCGGAGTAGTCCCACACGCCGCCCACGGGGTACCTGCGGAGGACCTGGCCAGGCGGTGAGCCACCGATGGCTCAAGTGGTGAAGAAAGATGGTCGCGCTGCTGGGGACGTGCGAGAGCGGTCGTGGAGTGTGTTGTGAAGTGCGCGCTTACGTACCGACACCATGTCGATGTTGAAGAGATAGGCGTTGAACAAAACATAGAGGGATTCGCTCAGGGGCTTACTGGAGGCCTGGAAGATGAACGGCCACGCCTCCTCCGAGACAGTGCCCAACAGAAGCGGCACTGTGTGTCGAGTGTCGTGTGTTTTGTGTGTCGTGTGCATGTCAGATGTAGATTCGAGCCAATCACAGAAGTGGCTCTTGGCATTGTCCGCACCTCGATTGAACTTGCCGGACAAGATGAGGTTCCAAGGTTGGCCCAGCAGCTCATCACCGATCGACTATGTGGGCGGAGGGGGGGGGGAGAGAGAGAGATCAGTCCTGTGTGCGTGCGCGATGCGTGCAACAAACGCGGAGGTCTCGGTGGTGAGAAACGCACTGACGGGAGTCCAGGGCATGGCGGTGAGGAGAGGGTGGAAGTAGTCGACCGAGTTTTCAACGGCGGCGCCGGCGCCAACGATGTCGTGCCAGTTCTTGCCCCGAAGGCAGCTCAGCTGCATTTCGCCACACACGACAACACACAACAAAACAACACACGACACACACGACACACACGACACACGAATGGAACATGAGTTACGTATGAATGTGTGGTAGCCATTGGAGTGGGGTGGGCGTATGCGAACCGTGTCCTGGCCCCATGGGCACTGGATCTTGTCGACAAAGAGCTTCGCCAAGGCCTTGGCCTGGAGCGTACGGTGGTTAAGTTTAGACTCCGTACGTAGGACTCGAGACCGCGTGGTAGACGGGAGGCGATCGGTGGGTACCTCGGGGATGGTCTTGATGGGCAGGGAGAAGGGATTGGACTCGATGATGGCCTTGGAATAGAGGCCCTGGCTGTACTGCGAGACCAGATGCACCGCGACCGAGGTAGCTCCAGCGCTCTCTCCGAAAATCGTGATCTGCAAAACAACACACGACGACACGACGACACACACGACACGAGTGTGAGTATGACTGGGTGATTGGGAGTAGTGTGATGCGGAGCGAGTCGCACGTTCTTCGGGTTGCCACCGAAGGCGGCGATGTTCTTGATCACCCACTCGAGGGCGAGACGCTGGTCCTTGATGCCGAAGTTGCCGGGGATGCCGTCGGCCACGAGGAAGCCCAGCACGCCCAGGCGGTAGTTGGTGGTGACGAGAATCACGTCGGCCGAGCTCGCCATGTACTCGCCACTGTAGACGAGCGACGCAGCTTCGCCCTGTATCGTGCCCGACGTCCACATCACATGGAATCAATGAGCGAAAGCTTTGCGCAACAACACACAAGGCACGACACACGGTCTTCGATCGCACATGCAGGACACCACACACAGAGACTAATTCCTGTCGACACTTGACACCTGTTCGAAGCGACCACCGGGCATGAAGAACATGACGGGCAGAGGAGCTTGGCCGGTCTTGACGCGCGGAGTCCAGATGTTGAGGAACAGGCAGTCCTCGCTCTGCGTCTCCGGGCACAGGTGCGGAGGCAGCACACACTGCTGCGGACAACCCGCGCCGTAGGCTGTTCACACGCGGGCCGCCCGTCAGCAAAAAAATAAAAATAAAAAACGAAAACGAAAGCGAAAGCGAAAACGAAGACGAAGACGAAAGCGAAAACGAAAGAGCGGACCGGTGGCGTTGTAGGGGGAGTTGCCCCAAGGGCGCTTGGGGAGGGGCGGCGTGAAGCGAAGCGGACCCACGGGAGGCTCGGCAAAGGGCACACCCTACAATCGTGACAGGAAGTTAGTTATTGGGGGGGGGAAGATAAGAACGAAGGTGAGGTGCCTTGAACGAGCGGAAGGTGTCGGCGACCACTCCTCGCAGGGGTCCCGCTTGAGTGTACACAATGGACTCGTCGGCCTGCGCAGCGGCCACCAGGCCCAGCACGACCAGTACAGTAACCCACGTCGCACCCTTCATCCTCTGCGCCTTCGACTGTAATAAACCTTGTCGGCGAGCACAAAGACAAAAGCTTGTGGAATGAGTGGAATGTTCTTCGCTCGGTTCAGGACAGCTCTTCTTCTTTCTTCTCCGTGCTACTATCGTTCTTCTTCTCCTTCTTCTTCTTCATGCGAGGACTGCTCGTCTGCGCCTTGGTGGCGGTCTTCTTCTTGGTGGTGGCCTTGGCCTTGACGGGGAGGAAGTTGCTCGACTTGGCGCTGCGGATGCCGTACTTGCGGAGAATGCGCTCGGTGGCCTTGCGGGCCGGCTGGGTGGCCAGCACGATGCGCTCGCCGCTGTCGAAGCGGAACTCGAGGAACGGCTCCGCGCAGCGCTCGACCTCGTCGATGAGGTGGCGCAGGTTGCGGATGTCGCAGCCGTTGAGCGACAGCAGCTGATGGGCGTGCTCCTGGGAGAAGCCGGCGTTGACCTGGTCCTGCAGGATCTTCGTCATCACCACCACCTGCTCGTCCTCGAATCGCTTCGTGTTCTGGTAGTAGTAGCGCCCTGCGTCACCATCGTCGGCATCAGAAACCACAACCGGCCAACATCAGCAAGAAGGACGCAATACCGACAATGGGCTCAGCGTCGACGTGGCCGACGTAGTTTTCGTTGAGGCCGATGAAGACGAGGCCGGCGTGGATGAAGTAGTTGGGCACAGCGACGCCGTGCTGTTCTTCGTGCGGCGGGATGAGGTACTTGCGGGGCTCGGCGGTGACCTGACCGAATGCTCCTCACCGTTGCGCACGAGGGTGAGGCTCAGCTTCTCGCCTACAAACTTCTTGGTCACTGTCACCGCGCCCACAGCGTCATTAGCGTCGGCGCCTTCTTGCTGACCATCATCGCCGTCGTGGGGCAAAAAAGAGAGAAGCTCACCAAAGTATTCGAAGGAGAGCCGCAGATTCTCCTTGTCCTTGCTCTCCGACAGCGAGACGGTGCCGTCGTTGCCGATCTCGACGCCCTCCACCCGCGTGATCACATCACCTGGCTGAAGCCCCAGAAATCAGTTCGCCACCAGTGGCCGACTAGGAGCTGCGGGCATTGTGGTTGTGTGTGTGTGTGTGTGTGTCCGGAGGGGGGAGAGAGAGCATGAACCTGAATGACACTCTTGGCACTCGACAGTTCGTCCACCTTAGTGACCATCACGCCCGTCTGGCCCTTCTTTAGCTTGGCCCACTTCCGCAACGAGTCGTTGTCTGCATCAGTTCAACACAAACAAAGCACGCCACAGTTTTAGTGAACGTGTCGTGCGTGTCGTGCGTGTCATGTGCGCTCATACCCGTCTTCTGGTACTCGAAGCCAGCGGAGCAGAACTGAGGCGACCGCCCGTTCTCGACGTCGGTGAGGAAGTGGCGGATGATCTCCGTGGGAATCACATACCCCACGCTCTCCGTCCACATGCCGCCCATCTTCTGGAACACCACGCCCACGATTTTGTTCTCCTGGTCGAGCACGGGTCCGCCGCTGTTGCCCGGGTTGATCGCCGCGTCGATTTGCAGCGTCAACAGCTTCAGGCCCTCATCCTGCATAACACATAAGACACACGACACACGCGCGCGCGACACACCACAATCAACGTATCGGCAACGAATGGCGATGCGTCAGCTGATGCCTGATGGTCATGGTCGCAAGCTCAGGCGTGAGACGCTTACCTTGAAAGAACGCACGATCTGGTACTGCTGCAGTTCCAGACGCGAGACAACGCCTCGCGTTGCGCAAAGGCTCTCGCCGCCCTCGGGATAGCCCTGTAGCACAGCAGACGGCCATCGGAGCAAGATCAGACGTCAGGCGCACAACGCGCGGAACAACACGCGACGATGCGTACAAAGACGACAACGGTGTTCTGAAGGCTGGGCGTGTCGACAAACTGTAGCGGCTTCAGCCCATCAAAGAACTTGGGGTTGGACACCTCCAACAGCGCACTGGTCATGTCACACACAATTCCACTCAATCAGAGAAGAGAAGCAATCTTGCCAGACGAGGACAATTGCAAGACCACGCAGAAGGGGGAGGGGGAAGGGGGGGGCAGTGTACAGATCGCAGTCCTGGTTGATGGCCACCACGGTAGCGGAGAAGAAACGCGCGGTGTCCTGCCGCTGTGCTCGGACGAACGTGTTGTTGGCCACCACGTGTGCTGCGGTCAAGATGCGGAGCTTCCCTGTGCAGCACGACAAGTCCACGTAAGCACACGCAATGCAACACACACGACACACACGCACACACGCACACACGCAACTGGCGAGTTCAGCGAGGTACCGGGAGGACTCTCGATGACGCACGCGGAGCCGGAGGTGTAGTAGGGGTCGCCCTTCTGCCACGGGAGGGAGTAGTCTGGTTCGGCCGCCGCCACCTCCAGGCGCACCACCGAGCGCAGCGCCTCGTTCTGGCCCACGGTGGCCACCGGCACTGGAGCTGACGCCGCGGTGGTCTTATCGCCAGCCATCTCCGACCCGATCAGTTGTGGCGCGGCCAGCACCTCGGCTTCCGCCTTGCGCTTGCCCAGCCCGCGTGGTGCCCGCTTTGTGACCTCCTTGGTCCGCACAGACGATGAGACAGCCGGGTTATTATTAATCTTCATTTTCGAAGATGCTGCTGCGGAGTAATCTCGTCGTGTGAGAGGGCCATAGCTTTGACCGAGCGCCTTGACAGTCCGTGAACTTCGCAGGTGCCCCCCTTGCTCCGCCCAGCCTCGGGCCAACGTCGAGATGAACCCTTGTCGCATCGTTTAGCCACTGGGTGTTTCCTGAATGATTTCTTTTGTAGAGTCCTTTTATTTTTGTTTTTGCTTGAGAAGTATTACTGGCTCGGTGTCATGTAGTCCTTCCCGTAGGTGTGCTGCAGCATCGGTTCGTAGTCCGCCGCCGACGGGCACCACATCACCTGTCCCTCAAGAGGGCATGGCACGATCTTCCGGGGGAAACTTGCCCGCTGCGGCCCCACCTCTGTCGCATCGGTGCCGTACCTGCCCGCGAATTCCTCCACGCAGAACACGTCCATGTGCGCGGTGTGACCGTCGATGTAGGCGACCAGCCGGGCGAACGGACCCACGAATGAGACAGAGTCCTCCTGCGAGGGCACGACATCACCGGTGCGGTTGTAGCGAAGACCATCGCCGGGGAGGTCCATGGCCCGGTGCTCGTTGACGATCAGGCGGACCTCGCCGTCGTGCCAGGGCTGATGGCGGGCCACCGCCGTGTTCCACTCGATCGAGATGCCGTCGATGGAGGACCACAGCTGCCCACTACTGGTGGCCTGAGGGTGTCCCGCCGCGAGGTCTCGTATCATCTCGCCCGTCTCGCGGTCGATGGCGATGTCGAGGTCGGAGTCCCACGGGATGATGCGCCCGTTGCGCAGAGCGGCCAGCAGGGTGCCGGCGACGGCCACGTAGCGCCACTCGAGGGTGTCGGCCAGGCGGACCCAGCGGTAGATGAGGTAGCGCAGGCGAGGGTGGGAGGCGCTGATCCGTTGGTTCGGGTAGATGAGGTCGTTGGGCGGGTAGGCCTCGTAGGGGTTGGCAAATACTAGAGAGGTGTGAGGCATGGCCGTTGAACGAAGAGGAGGAGTGCTCTGGGGTGAGTTCAAGCTGCTTGTTGGTGATTCTTGTGGCTCCTGGCCGCCATCGGAAGTTGTGTTGGCCGTGGAGAAGTACACCTCCGATAGGAGGCTTTCATGGTACCCGAAAAACAGCCAGCACGCGAAGGCCAGGCAACTGACGATGTAGACCACGTTGACCCATCGAAGCTGGAACCAGCCGTACATGTCGAAGGTGTTATGATGCGAAGAGAGAATGCCAGTTCTTTGAGGCTCAGTCTGGAGCACCTGTTCCACTGAGGCACCCAATCCCATTGGAGTGTTGGGGCACCTCAACATCCATGTCACCAAGTGTTCGGACCTCTTGTGCTCTTAGTCACCGTGAAATGGAATGAAATTCCGACCTCACTGTGGTGCAGAGAGTGCATCGGTACGAGTGGAGTACAGAGAAAGAAGAGAGACAGAGCGTTTGAAGCTTTGTGGCCTCAACCGCACACGGCCCGCCCTACACACAACATACAGTCTCCTAACTCTCAAAGGGCCAAAAAAGTCAAAACTGGTCAATGCGCAACCTCCGGTACCGGTCGCACGTTGTTGTGCCATACGAAACCTGTTTCAAACCTGTCTGTCCGCAGACGCACCAGGTGAGCCAAGAAGGCAACGACCAAAAAAGAGCTCTTTTTAGCTATTTTTTGGCCCTACTCCACACGTTGAAAAAAGCAATTTTAATAGGCGAAAAAAGCCAATGAACCGGCGACATTCGACCCCTTTGAGAGTTCAGAGACTGTATCACCTACTTGCGTGGCGTAGGCTTGCGCACAGCGAAGACCACTTCACGAGGTAATGGCCTTTACTCGATGGAGCAGATCCCGGGTGACGGCGAAGCCCGACGCCGAACCGAGCACCACTGAGTCACGCTGGCAGGCAGGACACACGGCCGTCTCGGCCGCGACCGCAGCCTCTACGCCGACCGGTGGCAGCCTGGTCCATGTCTTAATCTCGCTCGGGCGGAAGGTGGCGAGGCAGTTGTAGCAGCCACAGACGTCGCTCCTCATGACCTCGTCCTTGTGGTCTACGGCGTGCGCACGGATGTCGTCGATGTGGTCGTCGAGAGTGAGCAGTCGCTGTGTGCGCCGTTCCTCCTCCTCGGGCCGGATGTCGAACGTCCACAACACCGGGTCCGACACCTCCACCTCCGCTGTCTCTGCCGCCATTTCGTTCGATGTGCTCACCAACCCTCCAAACTCCATCGACGCCAGCGCTGTCATCATCGTACGAAGACCACTATAGGTAAGCATCGTCCAACCCCGCTGCCATACCATGAAGTATATGAGAAGAAATGGTACCCAGGTCCCATCGCAGGCCCTTGGTGGTAATGGACCGGCATTGGGTGCCAAGGGGCACCAGACTGCAGAAGATACGTCGCTTGTCCTGTGGTCGCAGCGCTATGTTCGTGTGGATTATGTGCCTCCCTGGCACTAGCAGGAAAGTCTGCGCACGACAGCGATAGGGCACTGATGAGTTGGCGGCCTCAAGTTGGTTCGGTGGTGGTGCGGGAGAAAGAGACGGTCATACGAGGTTGAGATCGGAGAGAAGGAAGATGCGACGCTGGCGATACTTGAAGAGGATATTCACGTTGGCGAGCTCATGCGAGAAGTTGCCGCCCAGGCCGCCCACCACGCACAGGTTCGTGAACTGATGTGAAGGCAGTGGAGAATCGCGATCAGGTTCGTGTTATGACACAACCGGTACGATGACGTGAACTCCATCGTGAGAGTGGAGCGGTACCGTTTGTCCCTTCTTGTGCTCGATGTCCTTAATCTGCAGCACACACTTCTCCAGGTCTGTAGTGTCTTGGTCACGGCTCTGCACTATAGCCGTACCCTACGAAGATACAGAGAGCGAGAATGAGGGACAAGGCCAGGAGCCACCACCAACGCCGGCAAAGTGCTGAAAGAAGCGAACCTTGCTGCGGTAGTACTCCATGACAGATGGTCGCAGCGAGTCCATATCACCAGTGATCACGTCAGGCACGAATCTGCAGAGGATCCTCGTCGAATTGAGATGAGAGAGATGTGAAGAGAACACTGGAAAACTACCTCCGCTTGTCGAAGGCAAAGACGCGATTGCCGCCTCCGTCAGCGCAGACCTTGACGCCAGCTACAACAAACATCCACAAAAGTTGCTCAGCCAAGGCGATCTCGACGCGTGATTTCGGCGCGTACCTTTGGACCAGAGGAATGGGAAGAAGCGGTTGTGTTTGGGGATGGCAGAGTTGGCAATGATGAGGGCCAAAGGCACGTCCTCCATCTTTCTACCAGCCACCTCCTCCATCGCTTGTGTGCTGCTCGTGGCGAAGAAATCGGCACAGTTCCAAATCGTGACATCTTCCGCTGGCGTTGCCGAGATCGTGATGGGTTCCTTGTCGAGCGAGTAGGGCATCTTTGCCAACGGTGTGGAGTGCATCATCCGAACACCATGGCGTCCTCGCCACGCGTACCACAGTCTTGCTCTGCGCATGTGTTTTTATTTTCGTTATCTTTATAAAGATTAAAAACAGGCAAAATAATAAAATAAATCATTTATTATTGCCCGGATAAATCCGGTCGCAGTGCGGACGGTTGCCTCGCCTCGTGACAAAGGGCCAAAGGTACAAGACCAAGATGCAACGAGCAACGCTTCCAGTGCCGCCTGCCAGGAATCACGGCGGCAAGCTGTCGGTGGGCCTCACCCTTCGCTTCCCTGGTACCTACCACCGCCCCCATCTGTTTACGCGTACAACCTTCTTACTTCTAAAATCTGACCGCACCTGTTCATCTCTTGTGGCCTCCATCTTGGCGTGGACCACTCCCAGACATGACGAAGGAGGAGATCGAGACGGTTGTTGCGGCCTTCCAGAAGTTCGACCTCGACGGCAACGGCCGCCTGGACAAACGTTCGCTCCCTCCTCGCCCTGCCGCTACAATAGCCCCTGCGCACCACGTACCCTGACTGGCGTAACCGCTTTGCCACAACAACAACAACAACAACAACAACAACAACAACAACACAGAGGAGTTCGCGTTGGTGATGGAGGAGGTGAAGAAGACGAACAAGGGCAAGGGCGCCGCGGATCGGATGCTGATGGACTTGCACTTTGACGCCATGGACAAGGACCACAGCGGCGGCATCGACATCGAGGAGTTCATCGCCGGCTACAACTCCCTCTTCCACGAGGAGCGCCACGAGCTTGCCCTCAAGCTCCATGCCCAGCACCCTGGTGCGCTCCTTGTTGTGCCCTCTTCCCCCTGTGGATGTGTCGGTTGGCGTGGTGGGTGACCCTGTTCTTGTTGGATACGGCCATACTGCGCCCAAAGCACCGCTTCCCATCCGAACAGCGAAGTTAAGTTGCGCCAGGCGGTGTTAGTACTGGGGTGGGCGACCACCCGGGAATCCACCGTGCCGTATCCTTACATTTTTGCTGAGCTCCTTCCTTATCACCCCCTCTTCATGCACCCTGTGTGGCGTATCTTCCTTTTGGCTGCTGATGGTGGTGTTCTGACCTTGCTTTTCTACTGTTTTTGCAGAGATGGAAGTGCATCAGATTGAGCGCGTGCTCAAGGCCTTTGAAAAGTTTGACAAGGACGGTGATGGCGTGCTCGACGCAGGTGAGCCCATCATCGTTTGGCCCATAGTCGTTTGGCCTACACGCGTGTGTTGAACGCGCCAACTCATATCGCGTGCGCGCAGAGGAATTCTATCAGCTCAAGGAGGAGCTCATGCCCGAGGTCTCCAAGGTCCTGCTTCGCCTCCACACCGAAAAGAGGTACGGCCCAGCCCACATAAAGTGTTAGTACGGTGAGGCCGAGTGTGAGCTCATCGCCGCTTCGCTGCTTGGACGCCAGATTCTCGCACGCGGACGATGACGGAAGTGGCGACCTGAACCGCGTCGAGCTGGTGGCGGCCTACCGCGAGATCTTCGGCTCCCAGTCGGGATTGAGCCCGCGGGTGGGAAACATCCCCATCAACGCCCAGAGCGCCTTCGAGGACTTCGCCACCTGCGACACCCTCCTTGCCACGCGGCAGAGATTCAATGTTCGCTTCTCCCCCCACCATGACATGCAGAGCCGAGGCCAACTAACCAACCGATCAACCAACGAACCACCAACAGGAGCTTAAGGAGACCTGCGAAGCGGCCGAGGGAGGCGACGTGTACGAGGCTGTGCGCGGACGCATGTTCGGACACCCACGCTGGAAGCCCTTTTTCCAACTCATCGACAAGCTTCGTAAGCAGGTGTGACGCTCCCCCGCCGCTAGCGTGATCACGCGCGAGTGTGACTGCGCGCCCTGCTCACCACAAGGCACTCTCCTATCCATGCATCAGAAAGAGTACACGGTTAAGTCGACCAACAAGCCGCGCGTGCTAATCGTGGGCGCCGGTC